GAGCCCTCAATACGTTAATACATCAATGTAGCGGTTGCTAACTTCGAACCAACCGTCTTCTCAGGTTTTTCCGCAAACCTATGAATTTCTTTTCACAGTTCGATCGAGCGGAACCTCTACAATAAGCATATCATAATTTTTAATGTGAAATTTGGCCTACTTGAGAAGATATAGGTATTTTCTTAATGCTACTTCAAGGCTATAGTGGTGCATTGTTCAAACCTACCGTGTTCTCAAGTTTGACCAGTTACGTATGGATTTTTTTCCATCGTGCGATCTAGCAGAACCTCTACATTAAGCAGATCATAATCTTTAATGTGAAATTTGGCCTACTTGATGAGATATATCTATTTTCTTAATATTACCTGAAGGCTATAGTGGTGTCATGTTCAAACCTACGGTACTCTCAAGTTTAACCAGTAACATATGAATTTCTTTACATCGTTTGATCGAGCGGAATGTCTTCATTCAGAATATTATATATCTTGCTGAGCGATTTTGCTTAGCTGAAGAGATATTTGTCTGTTTTATGTGTCTGTTACGTGCTCCGTTCTATTTCTGGATGATGACGGACAAGTGCAGAAAATGGTGAACATGCGTTTCCATTGCTCAAATAGCGAACGAAACGAAGTTTGTGTGACCGACTGCGGGCTTGCCAAATGTCGGGCTTGCAATTGTCGCTAGTGGATCTGTTGTAAAACTCTTTCTCCTTCACATTTTTCCTTCACTTCACGGCGAGATTATCCGATTTAGCATGTTCTGTTAATGAATAAACTTGAGTTTATTCAGGTATACGTTTGTGCACTTGGTGATCATCATGGAGACGATTCAAAGGCCAAAACCTGGTGAAAGCGATGAGGATATTTTACGAATGCAGGTATTGCTTTGACGTCGTTTCGCGAGGCTTTTGACATTTATCAATATGGTGTATTCATCATATGCTACAGTTTCTTATTTTTGAATGTATTAGACTTAAACCAATCGACAATTGAATTCATTTACTGGTTTGTTAAAGGAGTAAAAATTAGTTCATAAAACTATGCGAAGTGTTCTCGGTGAGTTAATTAAAAGAATAAGTTTAAGGAGGAATTCCAAAAGACACATCTACAGGGAAAGTCGTGTGCTCCCATCAGCGTTAACCTCAAGAGGGTTATTAATTTTAAATATTTTTTTCGTATTCGAAGCTTTATTAAAATTATTGCTTGCATGCAATTATTATTCTTATAGAACAATATTTCCGTAGTCTTCAGTTTCAACACGTTTCAGTGATGCTTTTTAAAATTTGTTATGGCTCACAATATTTCGAACGGTAATGGCTAAAAAATGAAGTATTGCCGTGCAATAGTTTTTGTATGATTGTCAGTAATCAACAGTTGGTATCTTTATTCAGATGTCTAATAGAACGAATCCGTTGAAATCGAACGAGGAAGATCTTAAAATCAACAAATCACATGTGATCGATAAGAATCAGTTGAGCAAGGGTGAACGCAAGAAAATTTCTGCATCTAAAAGGAATCGAGGACGCTTCACGATTGATTTAGAAACTCTGCAAGAAGAATCGAGTTTAGATATAGTCACAGCCGTACAGGTACCAGCAATGACAATGCTATTAATGATTNTGCGTGATCAAATGATTGATTAAAATCTTGTTGAGTACTTATGGAATGAGACATAAGTCTGTAAGTTTATATCCTATTTTGTCGTGCAGGTTGAAACAATGACGAATGCATTATGGGAGTCTTGAATATATCTTATCATTCTGTCTTCCCTACTTCTTCGTATTAGTTCAATTTGATGTGATACTGACAGGAGAAGAATCTCGATTATTTGGAAAATACAGATCAGACATCATTCATGTTCAGTGGACTCAGTAATGAATATTCAAAAGACGATGGTTTCCCAGATGTGATTGATTTATCACGGTATGTTTGTATTATAATGGTTGTAATCATTTGAATTCTCATTCTCTATTTTCTTGAAAACTTCTATATATTTACATTTTGTTATGTGTAATTTAGTTTATTGAATATTGGTTAAGAGATTTCAACTGTGATTATGAATTTTAATAAATTTCGAACGTTTGAGATACTTCAAACCGGATGAATCTGGTAAAATTCTCGAGAATCCGAACGACGGTCGCAGTTTGTTTGCCATCGAATTTGATAGACTAAATGGCAAAATTTACGGTATCTTATGAAATTCTGTCGTCATTATGTAAATTTATTGTTGTTACTTTCATGTTATATTATTTGTAATGCTATTGTTATTTATTATCGTTATTGAATATCTACATTATTGCCACTACAAATGATTTAAATCATTGTCAGTATCATCATCGTAATGCTGTTTGATGAAATTCGAAAATTATTTTCTCAGAAGCGATAGATGAAAGTTTCAATCAACCATCGACAACAAGAAATGATATGAGTGAT